TGACGGAGATAGAATAAAAAAAAAAAGTTATCATTCGTTATACTTTAGTGTGATTATGAATCATTTCTTTAAAGGTGTGGTGAGATTTTGTCGAGATTAAAAACCTTACAGTCATGACATGCTTAAAAATGACATGATTTGATATTAATAAACTTATTACATATTATCATAATTTTGGGAAGTAATAATCCGAATCATTAAATTTCAAAACTATTCCGAATTGTTAAATATTTATTTAATTTAAAGAAATTATTTCTACAAAAACATCCATGCTAAAACTGCAAAGGTATACAGTGAAAAATTCCAGTTTAAATTGGATATAAAGTACCGGCAATTTGGGATACATTATCCGTAAAATCCATTTATCCAAAAAATTAATTTTTACCGTGAAATATTATACAGTGATTTTTACAGAAATGTTTATATAATTAGAGTGGTTTAGTGATTTTATGGTAATTATTACTGTAAAAGTTAAAGTATATCAGATTTTTTGTTCCTTAATATGTTCGAACAAAAATGGATTTTTCGCTATAAAGTAGCGGTATTTTTACTGTAATTTGATCCGGAATTTTTTTCAGTGTAGAACCGAAAAAAAGATTCTGATAAAAAAAAATTTTTTAGAGATTTTATTAAATAGTTTATTGCAATAAGAAATTTCCATGCTTTTATCAATGCTTCTGGTGCCAGAATTATGAAAAAAAGATAATTACAAATAATAAGGAAATTAAGGTAATTGCAGATTTTATCAGGGGTGGACATTAAGAAAATTTAGTCACTGGTTCATAATCCCAGTGACTAAAAGATATTATTAGTTTATTCGCATTTTCACTTATCTCTTCTTGTGTCTCTAAAAGATGTTATTTTTAAAAAATTGATAAAGTTAATGTAAATAAAAATTCAAACTCAGAATGTGTAATTTTCACAACTCTGAAGATATACGCTATTTTGTGATTAAAGCAGCTTATCTTTTCACATCGATTACTTTTCCCGGGGACCAATTTGGTGCTCCGAATCAAATTTTAGTTGTTCTATACCAACAGACCACCGTCAATTTTGAGTCCTGGTTTTTAGAAAAAGAAGAAAAAAATAGAAAAAGAAAGTCGCTAATTGAAAGTCGCTAAGAGAATTGAGAAATTACTAGATTATAAATAAATTTGATTCGTCATACCTAAATCAGCATTAGTCCGGTATGCATCTATTAGGTTAAAAATATGCATTCGAAATCTTAGTAAATTTCTTTTCAATATGTATGTACAATAAATCTATTAATCATTCTTTCTTCCTTGTTTTAAAATCTTTATTATTCATTGTGTAAATTGCTTTCTCCCCTTAAGCTGTTTATTTAAATTTTATTATTTATATCAACTCTCAATCAAATTGTTATTTTAAATGCGATTTCTTAGCGTTATATTATTTTAAAAGGAACTCATACGTATAGTTACGTTATTATCTATTATTCTCTTAGTTTCATGATTAAGTATCACATTGTTTTGCCCAAATTAGTCTAATTTATTTTAAACACGAATAAAATATTTACTTTCTTTATGTGCTTTTACGATACGAACGACCTCTCGTTCTAACATCCCTTTTCCCTTGAACGAGAAGCATTTATGTAGTCATTTATGTCTCAGTTATCTATGTAGTTAAAAGTAATGTTGCGCGAATCATTTTTAAGTCTCATATTTATGTAGCAATTACGTAGATCGCTGGAACGGGCCGGTGCGTTAATTATTATGTATAATAATTACAAGAACTTATCGTATTTGTTAAACTTCTTACGCTCTCTCGCATTTAATTTTTTATACTTTTTCTGAGAGTGCATTTAATGTTTGGTTGTATGTATGGAAAACTAATTAATTGTAAAAAGTCTTCAAATAATGCGATTTCATATGGAAAAACACACCTTGTAAAAAATCTACTAATATCCAAAAAATCAATACTTTTTTTTTAAAAATTTTCTATAATATAATTTCAAATGTTCTGTCATCAAACTTTTAAGATTTTTGCCCTATTAATGATATCAAGCTTGCTGAACATATGAATATAAAATAGATGAATATTATTTCATTAAATTTTATTTAGGTAATCAGCTTAATATGAAAAAGAGAGGAACATAATTTAAATAAATTTTCTATTGATAGTAAGGTGACTTCTACCCCTGCTTGCTTCGCTCACCAACCACCTAGATTGCTTCGTAAAAAATTTCGTTTCATTAAGCAAATTGTTTCTTCATAATTAAAATTTTTTTTATTTGAAACATACCGACATTTTTAAGCATATTTAGTTTCATATTCTAGTGGAATGTAGTTTAAACCTGTTTATTTTTCTCGTTAATCTTCATCCACATACTTTTTTTTTCCGAAACTCTCATTTGATTTCTGGTTGCTATAAAAGCACCAAAATTTCTTTTTGCCTAAGATTATTTGGCAATCGGGCGAAATTATTAATTCCTTACATTGCTTTATAATTTTAAATAGTTGTATACATTACTTCTATAACAAAGGTAGACTGAAAAACAGTTTTACATGAAATTTATTTTTAATTATAAAAAATTTATTTATGGGGGAAATGTAACTTATTTACTGTTTAGCAATCACAAAACGGGGATTAATCCTTTCAAGACCAGTTTTTTTCTTTTCCGATAAAAAGACAAATTATGACTTTAATTGATAAAATAAGGTAAAAATAACAATATTCTGCCTATTAGAGTAAAATGTTAATATTACCACAGAAAACTAGTGGGATATGCATACGTATGAAATTCAGACTTATTTAAAACATAGGGTGGGCTTTTTAGAAATATTTGCGAGACATATATATCCCCAGTGGGGCTGAAAGTGTTAAATATCATACTAATAATATATTGCACAATACGTGATTATTTTATAACTTACTAAATAATTATGACTTTTACTTTTTTGTCTTAAATTTTAAATCAATAATCTAATTTGAAAAATTAATAATAACAAAAATAATGTTAGGAAGGGATGGTTAACAAAAATATTACTGGTAAAATACAATTAAACAAGGATTGAATAAATAAATTATGGCTAAATAATGTTATAAATTTTATAAAAACAATTATTAGTTCATATTGGTAATATGGTTGATGTTTGATTGATTGTTTTAAACAATTCTTAATTTTATGTTGATGACAATCAAGCTAATTAGTATTTTCTTTGTATACTTGAGATCTTATCACGTGATATTTCTCATACGTCCGAGCGTTTCAGCTATTTTCTTGATTGCTGTGACACCACAATTTTCATACACACAAATTTCAGCATAAAAAGTTTTATCAATATATATATATATATATTGAAAGATAATCTGTTTTGTCTTATTTCCCAAATAATCACCGCTTTCTCCATTTATATAAACATAATTCACTTTTTGGCATATATACTTCATCTCATTTCTTTACTTCAAACTAAGATACTAATTTAGTGATAAAAAATCGTCTGAAAACGATTCAACCAATTTCCTAACGAGAACTCATTTTACAAACGATATCTTTTTTCCTTTCGAAAAAAGGGTAAAGAGAGCTGCATGATGGAATATAGACGAATGTAGGCGTGCCAAAAATCCTTGAAGATTTCACCTGCCTAGCTAAGCTTGCAGTTTTGTTAATGAAATACTTGGCGAGTTTATCACGCGTTCGCTACTAAAGCTGCAACGAGGACGGTACTTTTTAATTAAATAAGTTTAATAGTTTTTAAAATTTACCTCACGACATTAATTTGTAATTTGATGCTTTACATATCTTTGACTTTTTTTTAATGAAAAGCTCTTCTTACAAAAGTGATTTATACATACTAGTTTCTTTTTTATTTCACCTTTTGCTTTTAATTTTAAAAAAAATAGGAATTTTGGAACGATTTAGTTGGATATAATAAATAATAGGTCCCAACAAAAATATATTTTTTTTTGCTTAACAAATTTTTAAAAAGCCATTAATTAGAAAACGTTGATATTTGCGCTGGTTTATTTTCTCACGCTAAGTTTAATTAGGTCTTAAAAATGAATTTATGTTTCAAAATGACTTTTAATTACAGAGCATGACAAAACTATTGAATGATCCAATTTTTCTTTAAAAATATACATGAAGTAAAAAATATTTTGAATTAATAACAATAATTGTTAATAATACTTCTGAAAAAGTCCACCATCGTCTAAAAGAAATCTAAAATAGTATACACATTAAAAGTTACAAAAATAAATTATAGTAATAAAAGAACAAAAATATCTAGAAATTCTGATGAATCACCATCAAGATCAACTAGTACAAAGGTGAAATTAAAATAATTATAGAAAATCCCCCATGTTTGTTAAATAAAATAAAAGGCGTTCTAAGCTTTCTTTACATCCCTTTCATTTTACACACACAGAATTTAATGATTATTTTAGTCCTTCGCCCCTAACCCTGATTAATCTCGATAATGATTCGTCAGATCTGAATAGCATTTTTTCTCTCTTCAAAATTAATTTATGATTTTGTAAGCATTTACAATTTCAGTTTATTCAAGGATTTTAAATATATATATGTAAACCCGTTGTGAGTCACGTGTATTTGCTACGAAATCCCCGTCAAACCACGTCCGTTGCTTAGAAGCGCTCGAATTGTGGTAAAACAGTGCAAAGCATACTAACGGATTGAAATAAATAAAAACTAAAGTAAATTTAAAATAAATTTTCAGCAATTATTTAAAACAATGTGGTTTTTTTAGTTTTGCTTCATATTTTACACTGTCAGTCGCCGATGATTGATGCGGCTAAGCAGAAAGTTCAGTGTTAAGCGTGTTAAAACCATATTTAAAAATATTCAATATATTTACTTAAATAGTATTTAATAGTCTAATGTCTAATAATTGTCTAATGTCTGCAATAAGTATTGATTAATGTATGACAAAAATGTTAATTTATCATTTTTGTACCTTATCAATTTCTTACTGGATCAGATTTTCATTTTCTAATAATGACAAGAATTTTTTTTTTCTTAGATTCTGAAGCAAAATGGCTGCTACCGTGGAAGGAGGTGACGCCACGGTGGCGAACGATACTTCGGGCGAATCACCTGCTCCCTTGGATGGACCTTCTTTCAAGGATCAATTCAAATTATTTGCCAAATTCGGGGACAGTAAAAGTACGGGTGAAGCCATCACACTGTCTAACAGTGACAAATGGATGAAACAAGCTAAAGTAATTGACAAGAAACTGACCACTACAGATACTGGTATCTACTACAAGATGGTAGCAAAGTAATCTATTTCATCCCTTTTAATCTTTGTTACATAATCTTATCTATTTTTTAAACGATAACGCTTTTCTATAAACACTTGCTAGCATTAAGTGCTATATTTATTTGGTAATTACATGATGCTAAGTCAAGAAGTTTAAATTATTTTGAGCTATTTAGTGGCATGCAGATATGGATAACAAGTTAAAGAGGATATTAAATCGATGACTAAAGTAAATATGTATTGCAAAAAAATACTAAAATTCTCGAAATTTTAGTATTTATAAATTAGTTAATAATGTTTTAAAAATCAATAAATTTTTTAGAAAAATTTTAATTTTGATTTATTTATTTTTAAACAGAAAACACAAAAATAATTTAAAATATAAGTCTACCTAATCAGAAATGCACACACTGGCCAATGAATTAGAAATCTTCTTTTTTCTGACTTCCTTCTGTCCTGATAACAGTCCGTATTCGTCAGGGCATTGATTCTACAAGTTTCTGGAGTGCCCTTAAGTTAAAAGAATGCCATTCATTTGCTACACAGAGTTTAAGATCCTGTAAATTAAGATACAAGAAAAGACAGCTGTTGAATGAGTATTTCCAACCTATCCCAAACATTTATTATTAGGTAAAAATCTGGATTTTGCGTTGGCCAAGAAAGTTGTTGGAGTAGACCTGAAAATAATTGCTTGCCATGTGGCGAGTCAACGAAAAAAAGTGTCGACTTAAATTAAATAAATCACTTTTTACTTTTTTATCATCTTTTTTTTAACTGTTTAATGATAGAAATAAGTCAATGCTGAAAAGTTCTGGAATACAGAATTTACACCAAAATGTCCGATGTCTCCATTCAAAATGTTGATACTTCAGAATTTATGGATTTGTGATGGAAAGATTCATGTGAAAGAAGATCGAACTCCTTAATAATTCACATCACATAATTCCAAGTTGTAATGTCTACATTAAGTGTATTTCACCTCCCTAAATATTTTTAAATAAAGTTCTTTAAAGTCAGCATGTTTAACTAAATTTTGTCTTATATTTATATTATTTTCATTGTTGAATTAACTTTTTATGGCAGTATATTATTTCTAATATGATTTTAAGAAAAATATAATTTTATCCAAGCAAATAAAAAGTGGCTATTAAATAAAAAAAAATGCCCTCTTCAATAGCGGTCACAGACTCAATAGGTTTGAGGAAAAAGCGACTACTAAGTTATTTGAGTCTACCGGCCACTAACAAAAAATTTAAATTTTCAGGTCTATGTTGGAGTCAGATTGATGTTCATAGAACCAATTTTGTGCACTTATAGCTTGATGAACTAATCATCCATGACGTATCCGCACCTTCGGGAGAAAAATTTAACATTGTGGAATGAACTTGTTTAGCTAGCGTGTCCACACTCTAAGAAATATTACTCTCACTTATGACGATTCAGAAATCCTTGAGCAGTATTTCGTTAAGCTTGAGAATCATTTCGTCACGAAATCACGTGATTTGTGAAAAACAATGACTCTCAAATATATGACGAAAATGTTTCCTCAAGTCCAAACCTCATCGTAGAGGGAGATTGTTAACTAGAATTACGAAACTAGAATAAAGATTGAAAATAAAGTTTGCTTTCCTCTATGGTGGTCAAGGAGTTGGCGTCGTTCTACGAAGATCAGTGGTTTGAATCCCGCTTCGGTTATTGTTGTAATTTATCTTTTGGTTCTATTTACCCTTCTTATGTGGTGCCAATGTTAAATTGATTATTAGAAAAGTTAGATACACTAGGTACTACGAGTTCTTTTTTTTTGTGGGAAAAAAATAGAATGATGAAATATTTCTTGAATTTTGGGCGAAATTCGTTTTCTTGAAGAACTGATGATAGTTATTTCGTCACTTTTTCGAAATTTCTACTCGGAGCAAACGGTTTCGTCAAAAATGAAGAAAGTTTCGTGATAGTTGAGTATCATATTTTATAGTGCAAATGTTGCATGGCTTCTTCTTACTCTCTAGAAACACCAAGGCACCGCATCCATACCAGCAGAACATGTCCCACATCATGATACTCCCACCATCCCACCAGACCCTAACCTTGCACCAGATCTTCGTACATCGCGAACAAGACAAAAGAGAGTTTTCCAAGTTTCAAATTCATTGGCCACTGTGTGTACTAATTGAACATTATGTGAGTCATTTTAAAATAAATGAATAAAAAATATTGCTTAGCAGTGAATAAAATCAGTTAGTCATTGCGCCATTTCTTACACAAATAATGACAATAGAAGTCCTTTATCGCCTAAATTCCGCACTTGGTTTTAAAAGGGGTACAAAAATCTTAAAAATCATCATAACCATTATTTTATTACTTAATAAAAAGTTACCTTTCAAGTAGTTATTTTTTATCTCGAAGAAAACGAGAAAATTTTCCTACTGATTCTGAAACGCAGAAAGATTCTTATGTTCATGATCATGTTGCTATTTTTTTTTTAATTTTAAGACACTTTATCTCAACACATATTATATTATTACTTAATAAAATAAGTTATCTTTCGAACAGTTATCTTTTTTTATGAAAGCGGGAAAAATTTTACTACTGATTCTTAAAATTAGATTTGTTTTGTTCATGATCATGTTGCCATTTTTTTTTTTTTTTTTTTTTTTTTGCAAATTTTAAAACTTTATATCCTAAAACATATTAAAGACAACTACACGAGATTTGAAATGCATATTATTTAATTATTTTGCTTTAATTTAATTTCAAGAAATTTGAGAAACAATTTTTGATTTATTTTCTTAATTAAAAAAATATTAAAATTGACAAATGCTAAATTTTAAATTCCGAAACAGAAAAAAAAATTTCTGATTCATTTTTTTTTAATTAAAAAATATTAAAATTGACAAATGCTAAATTTTAAATTCAGAAATTCTTTAAAACATTAATCAGGAAACAAGAGATATATTAAAGTATAGTTCTTTTATTCAAAATAATCCAAAATAGTCTAATAATGAAGCCGACTATTTTCAAACATGTAATAAAACTAAAAACATACATAAAAACAAACATATTTAGTTATAATTTAAAAAAAAAAGAAATCATCGATGTTTCTGTAACTTATTAGTATGGTACAAAAATGAAAAAAATTTAAAACAATGCACGCGTTTTTTAACGAAAAGAAAAGTTCTCTTAGAAATGAAGCCTTCAACCCTCTTAAAAATAAGCTACATATATTTATATAAAAATCAGAAATAGTTCTAAGAAAATACTAAATATAAGCTATACATTTTAGATACATAAATTTTATCATTTACGTAAATTGAATCATTATGCATCATTTATGAAATATAAATTGTATCATTCATCACGTCATTATGTATCTCTATCATTATGTATTAATTGTATCATTTATGTTTGTTTTAAAAAGTATTTTATATTAATAATAAGAACGGTCTAAGCTTTACTTTATAGTAGCAATATACATTTAATTCTAAGCTGCTTTTCAAAATTTAGTATATCAGTTTCTTAATATAGGTTATTTTTAACAAAAATCTTATTTTCCACTGTGATTCGAAAAAAAAAAATTGGGGGGAATGAAAGAAAAGAATATCAGGGGAAACATCTGACAGGGTGATATTTGCCAAACGTGTTTGCTCTGTGCTTCTAAGTATTATTACGCTTCCTCTCTTTTAGAATTCTTTTATTTAATCTTTTTATTGAGTCATCCTATAAAGAGATAAAAAAAAAATACTTTTACGAATAGAAAAAACATGTTCGACGTTTTTTCAAACTCTGTATAACTGACATTAAAAAAAATACGTTGAATTGATTTTTTAGACTCAAACTGCATAATATCCAATGAATAAAATTTAGAATAACTGGCGTGCACTATGAATAAAATTGTTGTCTTTGTTGAGAATATTTTTTTTAAAATTTCAAATTGACACAATAAAAAATAATAATTTATGTTTGTATTTACTTACACAATATTTTCTTCTTTTTTTCTGGCATTGAGAAAATTTGCTTTTAATAAAAAGTATGCTTAAACAGATTTATTTCAGCTCTGTAAATATATAGGTTAAAGGTTCCAATGGAAAAGAATGGGAAGAAGCCATACAATAGTGGAGCTATGCAACGCAATCTTTTTTTTCTCTTTTAAAGTTCTCTGGAAATATTTTAACGTGATAAATCCAACTTTTGTTTAGAAATGGTTAAAATAAACTTGGTTATTTGTGTACTACCATATTATTTCTGTGTATTTTGAGTGGAATATGTTTTTTAATTTGATTCTACAAAAACATAAGCGTATGAATTTGTACCAGAATTCTATATTAGTTACAGATATACATAAAAATGATTAATAGAAAAAGTTAGTTTCTAATGAAATAAAAAAATATTTATAAGTTAAATTTTAGAGAAAAACAATTCTCAATTATGAGCAGTCATCTTTTCCCAAATTTATTCAACTTCATTTTATTTATTTCAATTAATTTTATTCATTCATTTATAGGAAAATTTATTTCCTTTGTATTTCCTTTGTCCTAGTGGGTTGCGCCCCCTGCTCACTAACGCTCGCCAACCCCCGAAAATTACTACGCAATCTTATATGGTTTGCTTTGCAAACCAAGCTCGCTCCGCTCGCTACTAACTTAGGTACATTGCAAATACACAAAATTTTAAGAATTCAAAGCAATCATTCAAATCCATACATAAATTCGTGAAAAAAAGCGCTTTCGACAAAATACTAAAATAGAGATCTATCGACAAAAACTACTCACTTCTGCCTAGCTTAATAGTATGAGATTGCAGCAGCTGATGCTATCTGGTTATTTCAGTTTCCGCTTTAAAAGCGCTATATGTTGAGCCATCTAAGCTAGATTTGGCATGTGACATTTTTAGCGGCAATCATTGGTTGATTCGCCGTGTAAGAGAAATAGTAACGTAAACAAAACAAAGCAAACGTTGCCACCGGCGGAAAAGAAATATAACCAAAATTTGGGGGCCTAAATTCATGAAAAAAAAAGCGCTTT